ACAAGACCTGAGGGGCCTGTGACCCTAAAAGGGTTAAGCTCTGTTAACTCATTTGGGGTCGTTATTATTTGACCTAATATCTTTTTGGGGAATATATATGCTCTGAGCTCTTTGCACATTATTAACCCTTTGACTGTTTACGCCGTATATATACGTCTTACGCGCCACTGTTTCTGACGGATTTATACGCATAAATTCTAGCGGCTTCAAATCAAGCAGGAGAAAGCTGGTAGGCCCACATGTGAGAGAATGGGTCTCCATGGTCAGTGTGCACCATATGAAAAAAAATCGGGAGCAGTGGTGCATTGTGGGAATGCTATTTCAGTTGTCCTTTTTCAGCATGCTTAGTGGTAAGAAATATGTGACTCCCCAGCAAATCTGGGACTCTTCTCTTCCCAAGTGATGCTCTAACACAGATGGAAGTGTCAGTGACGATCAATTTCATGATTTCGAGGAGTTTGAGACCAAAAGCAATGGAGGAGGAGGAGGAGAAGAGGAGGAAGAAGAGGATGAGGAGGAGGAAGAGGAGGAGGAAGGAGGAAGAGGATGAGGAAAAGAGGAGGAGGAGGAGGAGGAAGAGGAAGAGGAGGAGGAGGAAGAGGAGAAAAGGAGGAAGAGGAAGAGGAGGAGAAGAGGAAGAGGAGAAGAGGAGGAGGAATAGGAAGAGGAGGAGAAGAAGAAGATGTAATAATATTGTTCCCTTGAAGCAAGAAAAAAAAAGTCCACCCATGACAGTGACAAGATAAGGGGAGATAACATCTGATAAGAGCTGATGTTTGGTGAGCATAAACGAGGGTGGGGGGAGGTGCAGCTGATAAGAAAAGATTAGATGACATCTCCTCCTTTGTTTTTGCTGGTACACAAACATTTCTGTCTGTCTATTTGTCTGTCTGCCAAGCTCCCTGTCTATCCGTCTAGCTCTGTCTCAGAGAGAGCCACAAGACTGTGTCATCATCACGTTTACTCACATCTTCAAGCTGAGTTTGGCACTTTGTCTTGATTTTTTGGTTATCCTAGGTAATTTACAGTATGTATACTTGTATTTATGTGTACCTGTGAGACAGAGATAGACAAAACAGATAGAAAGAGAGAGACAGATTGAAAGAGATAGAATGAGGGAGAAAGATAATTAGATAGAATGGAGGGGAAGCAGCATCCAACCCCATTGTTTTAACAGGCGGTAGGGGGAGGTGAGTAATGAGATAATATGTCATTTTGACAGCTGCAACTCCTGACTCAAAAAAATTATAAGCCACACACTCGCACACAAGTCAAGCTTGCTGAATGAAGATAATAGCAGTTACATGAAAGTATTTAGGACTATATATGTGTTATATATATTATAGAAAATCAGAAGGAAGGAAGAATGGAAGGCAGGAATGAAGGAAGGAAGGTATTCTATTCAAGATTGATGGACTGACCACATCGGCTCAGGTTGAGGGACTGATTACCTCATTTCCTCCTGTTCTTCAAGTTTCTCCTATGTATGGACTGATGAAGCCTCTGTGTGGCGAAATGTTTCCTTAATAAAGTACCCAAGAGTTGCACATGTGTCTAATTTATCAACGTGTCGGTTCTGTGAACCATTCATCTACAAGGAAAAAAGTAAGGAAAGACGAAGGAAGGTAGGAAAGGAATGCAGGAAAGTAGGAAGGAAGGTAGGAAACGAATGCAGGAAGGAAGGAGTGATGACACACGACCATTTACCTAGGATAACTACAATGCCTGCACTTTAAAGGAGGGGCTTGGGATATTGGCAGTTTGGAGGGATATGTTGTGTATCTTTATACGTATATGCTTCTAAACTGTTGTATTCTGAGCACCTCTGCAAAAACAGTGATTATGTGTGAGTGTGGTGAAGTGTTGAATGATGATGAAAGCATTTCTTTTTGGGGATTTTCTTCTTTTTGGGTCACCTGCCTCGGTGGGAGACGGCCGACTTGAAGAAAAAAAAAAACTACATAACACAACTGCCTGCTAATACTTTGAAGAAAACTGCTCAGACAAGGTGTTTTGTCTTTGCACATAAAAAAAAAGTCCCAAAAATGCACACACACTGGTTTTATGTGTGAGAAGTGTAAAACACCATTGTGTATGAAAACATGTTTCAGAGTTCCACAAGCTGCAGAACTTCTAGGAATATGTTCGGTGACTGTACATTGGTATATATATTATAGAACAATAGTAATAAAAAAAATTTTGTGTGGTTTTTGTAAACAAGTTTTGCAAAACAATATATTGATAATTATGTTTGTGTGTTGTATACATCGAGTGTATATATGTACATTGCACCTTACTTTGGTCTCACAGGCCACGTAAGTTATGTGAAAAATAAATAGTGAAAAAAACAACAAGCCTTCATATACAAGTAAACCAAAGTTTACCAGGTGAGTGGCAGTCGCCGCTGTTGCCATACATGGCTCATTTTCTGCAAACTTCACACCTCTATATCTCGGTAAGTACTGATGGCAAAATTTATTTTTTTGGACTAAAAAACTCAGAAAAATAATCTTAACATTTTCATAAGAAAAAAAATTTTTTTTTCCGAATATTTTGCGACATAGAATGACAGTTTCAGAAAGGGGCCTGCGACAGTCAAAGGGTTAGAAAAAATTTCATAATGCAGATCCCTTCAAAATTTCGTAAGTATGATCATAAATAAAATTATTAGCTGGATTCCCCCAATCTAGATTAGACAGGTGTTCCTTAATCCATTAAAATTTTGGCAGAAGGAAAATCAGGGACTTTTCCATATTATCATTATTCTCATATTCCCAGCTAATGCTAAAAGTGATGGATTTGGATCACTAGCACCAAGCTCTTCAGCGATCTCCAGATTATTTATGGATAGGTCGAGCAAATTATTTCCTTTTCATAAAGATTACCCTGCTCACACTCCAACAGCACATCAAGTCCAAAAAAACCATTTGTCCCCTTTCGCTCTATCTAACACGCTCATGCATGTTGCTGGAGCCCAAGCCCCCCCGCACACAAAACCTTCTTTCCTAGGCCGATCGTACCCCACCTTCCTCCATACAGTTTATACACTCTCAAGTCATTTTATTTTGTTCCATCCTCTCTATATGTCTGAACCACCTCAAAACCTCTCCTTTCAGCCCTCTAGATATATTTTGGGTTTAATCCTGCACCTCCTCTTAATTTCCAAATATGAATTCTCTGCATTATATTCATACCACACATTGCCTCAGACACGACATCTCCCCTGCCTCCAGCCTTCTCCTTGTTGCAAAATTCCAAACCATGCTTCACACCCACATAAGAGCATTAGTATAAACTATATCTCATACATTACCCAGTTTCCTTCCATGGACATAGTTCTTTGTCTCCACAGACTTCTCAGTGCACCCCTCACCTTTTTTCCCCACGTCAGTTCTTTGATTACCTTTTCTTTTGTTTTACCCATCTGCTGACACGTCCACTCCTAAAATAATGGAATACATTCACCTCCCTTTATATTCTCTCCCCCCAATCTGATATCCAATCTTTCGTTCCTAATTTTTTTTATCTTCATCACCTTACTCTTTCCTATAGTATTCATTTTCAGTTTTCTTCTTGAACATACCCTACCAAAATTATCACCAACCTCTGCAACTTCTTTTCAGAATCTCCCAAAAGCAGTGTCATCAGCAAAGAGCAATTTTGACAAAATCCGCTTTGTGTTAGATTATTTATCTTTTAACCCCCAAACCTCTCGCTAAATCCGAGGGATTCACTTCTCTTTTTAAAAAAAACTGTATTACAGTATAAGCACCATATTGAATCTTGAGAAATCCTTAAACTTGGTGATGAGCAAATTTTTTTTTATAATGATTGTTACTTTGTTTGGTTAAAAAATAATTATCAGATAACTAGTTGCACATTAAAATCCTATTTTATTTTCATACCAGACTCAAATGGATGTAGCTGCTGAGATGAATGCATTAAAAGAAGAGCACCGTTGCTTGCGAGAGAAGATAACAGCTGTAAATTGCCATGAACAACAGTTAAATGAAGAGGAAGCAAGAGTAGAACAGCTAAAACTACAACTAGAACAAGAGAAGGCAAAGGTGAGAGTAGAAATATTTACTTAAATTATGAAAAACATTGTGATTGAGATATACAGTAGGGCCCCACTTATTCGTTAGGTTAGGTTCCAGGTTACTGCTGGAAAGCAGACTTCGCCGGAAAGCAGAACTCCATTTGTTTTCCATTTATAAATGCATATAAATGACAGATAACAAGTTTACACTAACATATATTAAGTTAGTAATAGAACTAGGCATTAAAAAGTAAAATACACACACAGTACACTCATTATTTACCTCAAAATATTTGTAGTCTTAATGTAGGGCAAAAGGTGAGTAGTATTTACTCTAAGAAGTCAGGTGTGGTAGCCCTCTTGGCCACCCCACCCACACATTACTATATTACGATGCTTAAAGCTCCCTAGAGCGATAAAATGCAATTACAGTACATGCATTACTTACCTTAAAATATTTGTAGTCTTAATGGTCTTAATGGAGGGCGAGAGGTGAAAAGTATTTATTTGTAGAAAGCCGTGTGGGAGGTATGGCATCCTGCCTGGCCACTTACACCTACTACGACATTAAGCTCCCTTGAGCATAAAATGCACATATAGTACACTCATTAATTACCTTAAAATATTTGTAGTCTTAATGTAGATTGAGAGGCGAGTTTTGTTTGTATGAAGTAAGGTTGGGAAGTATGGATAGCAGGAAGGGCAGCCCTCACCACCCCACCCACCCACACATAAGGTAAACAAACCAGATGAACGCGTCTGGTTTTTTGCCACAAGTCCTACAAGTTGCCTAGCTACCACAAGTTGCCTGGCTCCCACAAGTCCTACAAGTTGCCTGGCTACCACAAGTCCTACAAGTTGCCTGGCTACCACAAGTCCTACAAGTTGCCTAGCTACCATAAGTTGCCTGGCTACCACAAGTCCTACAAATTGCCTAGCTCCCACAAGTCCTTCAAGTTGCCAGGCTACCACAAGTCCTACAAGTTGCCAGGCTACCACAAGTCCTACAAGTTGCCTGGCTACCACAAGTCCTTCAAGTTGCCTAGCTACCACAAGTCCTTCAAGTCACCTGGCTACCACATCTCATATTTATGTTAATTTATTCTACTGTGGGGTGTATTTAGATGGATTAAGCAAAATGTTTTATATTAATGTTTTATACGATATTTAATGCTCCTTAGAGATTATTGTTATTATTATCATCATTAATATGGCATCTTCAAGACTAATAAGACACTCTTAGTGATTTAAATGTGTACCTGCATGCCAGCACAGTGTGTAAGTTGACTTAGGTACAGGTACACATAAGTATAATTATCAGTTATAATAATAATGTCCTAGGTAGTAGGTTGGTAAACAGCAACCGCCCAGGGAGGTACTACCGTCCTGCCAAGTGAGTGTAAAACGGAAACCTGTAATTGTTTTACATGATGGTAGGATCGCTGGTGTCTTTTTTCTGTCTTATAAACATGCAAGATTTCGGTACGTCTTGCTACTTCTACTTACACTTAGGTCACACTATACATACAAGTACAAGCATATATATACACACCCTCTGGGTTTTCTTCTATTTTCTTTCTAGCTCTTGTTCCATACACAAATAACCCGCACATAAAAGAGAGAAGCTTACGACGACGTTTCGGTCCGACTTGGACCATTGACAAAGTCAATGGTCCAAGTCGGACCGAAACGTCGTCGTAAGCTTCTCTCTTTTATGTGCGGGTTATTTGTGTATTGTTCCAGTCACGGTATTGTGCCTTTTTGTTATTTATTTAGCTCTTGTTCTTTTCCTCTTACCTCCATGGGGAAGTGGAAAAAGAATTCTTCTTCCGTAAGCCGTGCATGTTGTAAGAGGCGACTAAAATGCTGGGAGCAAGGGGCTAGTAACCTCTTCTCCTGTATATATTACTAAATGTAAAAGGAGAAACTTTTGGGTTTTCCTTTTGGGCCACCCCGCCTCGGTGGGATACGGCCGCGTGTGTTGAAAGAAAGAAGACTTCTGTTCTGACTTGGTGAAAGGATAATATAAGTCAAAAGTTTTTCTGCTGTGTTTATTTTGCTCCCTTTACACCCAGGATAACAGGCCTTTGGAAGTGGTACATTGAAAGAAGAATAATAATGTAGGTATGTAGTCTGCCTGGGCTACATAGCTACATGATATTTAATGTGGCCCAGAGCCATATTATTACCATCGACATACCATGTTCACTGAGTTTATTTCTAACAACTACCTTTAGATGTCATCATAAACAAAGGGAGAAGTAATTGAATAATTCATGCCGAGAATTGTAAACAAAAGTGTTACGTATTAAGGGGAGTGCGTAATGTTTTCCCTCTGCCCCGGGTACCACACCTCCATAGTATATAAAAAATGTTTGTGTGTTATGTAACGTGTTTCTTATATAATTTTGAAGAAAATGTAATATAGATGGATTAATGAAAATGTCTATATTAACGTAAAATTAGACACTTAATGTGCCCAAGAGAGATTATTATTAGTATTACGTAATGTTTTCCCTCCATAACATATAAACAGCATGTTTATAGGCTATGTTATGTGTTTCTTATATAATTTTGAAAGAAAATATCATAGATGGATTAATGAAAATGTTTACAGTGACAAAATTAGACATTTAACCTGCCCAAGGGTGATTATTATTACATAATGGAGAATGTAATCAAAGCAGGTGGCCCATGCCATATTTGAAAGACCACTTGCTGTATAGAAAGTTTTGGTCATAATTTGAAGTCGCCGTATTAGCGGAATGCCCTAAGGCAAAACACTGAAAAGCGGGGCCCTACTGTACTGTATTGTAGTTTATTACGCTTCTTGCTACCCCTCTACCCTAGCACTATCCCCTGCCTGCTGTGCTGTATGACCCTTGTAGGTTTAGCGCCTCTTTTTTATCATAATAATGTAGTGTATTTCAAAATTAGTTTATACAGTAAACTGTGTATGTCATAATCAAATATCTAATATAAATTTACTTGGCAGCTAAAACTGAACCAAGATATTCTTGTTCAAGAAAAGATGTTCATGGCCCAGACTCAAAAAGAAATTGAGGAAACAAGAAAAGAAGTTGATGTTATTCGTCATGAGCAGGAGATCAAATTTAATCAGATTACTTCACAGACCCGAGCTCTTCACATGCACCAAGAAAGAATAGAAAATGTAACTATTCTTTACATCAATAAGACATAAGTTAAATAACAAATATGTGGGTTATTTGTTGGGCTTCAGTCTGGTAAACTGGTTTTTCTAAATTCCTTCATAAGTATAACCTTGCTCACACTCCAACAACACGTCATTAGAAGCCACTTGTCTCCATTGTGATCTAACATGTTCGCATAAACCTTCTGTTTAGAAAAATGTGCTTTCAGATTCCCCCTTTCCCCCAATTTGTCCTACATGGGAAATAAAATGTTGGGACTTACCACAGTTAAATGGTTAAGAGTTCATTATCTCAAATGAAAACTAAATTTAGTTTTAAATTTTCACAGTGTTAACAATATAGTAAAAGTAAGTTTATTTTACAGGAGAACTTGAAATTAGAACAGTTAAAGGAAGAAGTGATTCGTTTATCAAAATTAGGCTTATGTGCCACTTGCCGGACAAAAGGAGCTGGAGAATTCCTGCTGGAAAGGTTAAAACCACAAAATGGACGTCTCCCAGGGGATGGTGGAGAAGGACATATCAGTAGCTCTCTAAAATTGGAGAATCATAATGTAAGATTCTGCATGTTAATTATACCATTTGGAAATTATGTACAGCACCCATAAGTTAAAAATTAATTTAAGAAATATTAACAGTAAAACCTTGATTTATCAGACTAATAGGGAGACAGGATATCTGCTAATCTGATTGTCCATTAAAGTTAAATAATGAGTGTGTTTTGCCATGATTGTAACAACAGAAGACATTTCTGTAACCAACAGACTTTGCCATTATTTGTGAATCAATTTACCCAGCAAATCATATCAATAACAGGCAATTTTGTAATAAATGAACTTTGTCAGTTTTTTTCCAAAATCAATTACTCAGTGGATCATAACAATAACAAACAGTTTCAGAAACAATGGGCTTTGTTGTTTCCAGAATCCACTTACCAGTGGATGTTTTCTGTTAAATCAAAGTTTTACTAGATTTAACTTGCAGTGCCCAAAAATTCACACTGACTAAATGTTAAACATTTTCTCCAAAACCTAGTTACCTTATATCACCTTTGATATACCTTTGAAGAGTTTCAAGAGATAATCTACTCTGAGCCTGGCCATGGGCCAGGCTCATCTGGTGCTTGCCTGGTCAACCAGGCTGTTGCTGCTGAAGGCCTGCTGCCCCACATATCCATCACAGCTTGGTTGATCTGGCACCTGGTGAAGATACTTGTCTAGTTTCCTTTGAAGGCTTCTACACTTGTCCCAGCCATGTTTCTGATATAGTCTGGGACCCTGGATGTTGATACAGTGTTCCCTTATTGTCCCCACTGCACCTCTGCTCCTCCCTGGGTTTATTTTTACATTTCCTCCCTTATCTCTCACTCCAGTATGTTATGGCAGTGTGCAGATTTGGGACCAGGCCCTCGAGTATTTTTCCAGGTACATATATATTTTCATGTATCTCTCTCTCTCCTCCACTCCAGTGAATACATAACGACTGGGTTGACTATAATAGTGGTAGGTTTTCTGCCGTTTCTTAAAACAATGAGCTTTCATATTGGCCACCAAATTTAATGGAATGACATAGTGGCTCTCATGTAACATTACTAATTTATATTCCAAATTCTCAGAATGCTCTCATTTAAACTTGCATTTTATGAAATACTTTGAGAATAACAGAAGACAATCATTCAGATAAGTGCATCTGGGAAAACCTTAAAAAATCTCTTTGTAGGTAATACCAAACTACCATTTGCCCTCAAGATCTGCGAGTTCTGCTTCCAGTGCTGGCTGGGCTCAGATATTTATGAGACCTAAAAGGTTGCACAAGGTATCATGTCATTTTCTGTTAGATGGACCCAACAACAGCATTTGAGTATAGAGGGCAGCAAGTGCCTGAACAGCATCCTTTTTTTTTTTTAAACAATCTGTACCCAAAACTTTTGTGTAATTCATTCCTGCTGATTGTGAGGAAAGTACAAGAATGTAGCTACTCTACAAGAGAATTTTGAATGTAGCTGTTTAAGAAATCAGATCAACCAAAGACCAAAATGGAATTTTAGTGATTATTTAGAACAATTCCAAATAATTTTATGCATATAGAGTACATAACAATACAAAAATAGTGTATGACTTAACACAACCCTTTTGCGGTCAGTGCCATAGAACTACAGTTTTGAGGTCAGAGTCTGTGCTGTAGAAATATATAATGAGCTCAGCTCATTCAGATAAGCTGTGAACAGTAAATTTTCGCCTGGATATGAGCGAATGGGTCTATATGGCGAGTGCACACCACATAAAAAAAAAAAACCTGCATCATGCAGTGCTTGATGGAAAAAAAAAAAATTGACGTGTAAGTTTAAAAATA